TTTTTTATTTTATTTATTTATGTGTGTGTGTGTGTGTGTGTGTGTGGCCAGCTCAGTCCACCAGGGGGCGGGGCTGGCTGGCATGTGGTGCTGGGGATTGAACCACGGTCCCTGTGCCTGTGCTTTGCTAAGCTTGCTCTAAGTAGGTGCTTTCAACCACTGAGCCATCTCACCAGCCCTATCACAGTGAATTCTCACAACTCTGCAACTGGCTATTCCTAAACTCATTTTACAATCAGAGAAATCAGGGTGCAATGGCGCATGCCTGTAATCCCAGCTCAGGGGTTTGACGCCAGCCTGGGCTGCATCATGAGCTCAGGGCTGATGTAGAACACAAGTGCAAGACCCTGGATCAAAACAAACAAACCAAGAAACCAAGAACTGAGAACACTGACTTTTCTAAGACTATGTAATTAGGTGACAGACCCAGTGGTTCATGCTGATGCACCTAGACATAAACCTGTGTTTATTCCTCTGTATCAGAGGTTCCCAAAAGCTATTTTAGATGGAAGATAAATTTACATGCTCTATTTTAGTAGTTAGGTTTATTTTCTTACATGTCAGAAAAAAAAAATCCAAGCATACATCAAACCTGTAATTTCACAGATGGTATCCTATAGAAAGAGGCTGCTCTTCAGAATCAAGTTAGGGGGAGGACCGGAGTAACCGAGGCACTGGAGGAGCTGTGCTGACACTCACAGGTGGCACACAAATGTCTGAAGTCTGGGCGACAACACCACAGCACCAAGAAGCTTCATTTTCATTCCCACCAATTAATGGGGCTCAGGTAGGGTTGCAGAAATGACAAGAGACTCAGGGTCTTGAACTGGGGTTTTATTCCTAGACAAGTCAAGTCACCATTACCTTGGTGAACTTGGGCATGTCATTTGCTCTCTCTGTGGTTTACCCACCTAAAAATAAAGAAGATAATAATCTAATCAATGAACACTGCCCTTTTGAAAACAATTTGACACTAACATCAATAAACATAAAACTGTTTTTAGCTTGTGGCCAGGAATTCCATTTTTCCAAGAAAATCCTACAAGGGCATGCCAGATAGCTCAACAGATGAAAGCATCTGCTTAGGCAGATGCAGAGGCTACAGGTTGCATCCCTGGGCAGCCATGCCAGCTCTGTGCCCAGGGCAGGCTGAGACCCAAATTGAGACTGTGCATGGTGGCCCACACGCCTGTAACCCCAGTGCTTGGGAGGCTGAGAAACAGGAAGGATCACTGTAACTCCAGTCTGTTTAGTGAAATCCTGTACTCCCTATACTAAATATATTTTTTTAAAAAAGAAAACCTATCACGCAGTTCAATAAATACGTGTAAAGAACTCCACAGTACCATACCCAACCCTACACTGATCCTGAGTTTGAAACTCAGCAATCAACAGACCCTGCCTTCAAATATCCACTTCACTCTGGCTTAAACACTCCTCTGGACTGCCTTTTCCTCTGCCCTCCATGAAGCCAAGTTCCACCCCACGTGGGACACCGAGCTGAACCACCACCTACCCCAGAGCCCCTCACACCTAAGTGAACTGCTGCTATATCTGAATGCTGGCTCCACGTTTATCTGAAGGGTTTATGAAGAGAATGCCAGAGCTCTGTTTAGGCTTAAGCATCTTGAAAACAGAGAGCACTTTAAGAATTTTCCAGAGCTGGGGAGACAGCTCAGTGCCATGAGCACCTGCCTGGCAAGTGCAAGGTCCTGAGTTCAATCCTCAATATAAAAAAAAAGAAAGAAAAAGAATTTTCCAGAGAGAAGCCACATCAGTGGTTTGCCTCAAACGCGACGGAGCCAAAGCCCAAGACTTCAGTGTGACAAGTTTCCACCTCTTGGCACAATTCTTCAATGTGGCAATAGGCTGGGATAGGCTGAAAAGCAAGAGGGTAGGAAGAAACTAACAAAAATTTAACAGGGGTTGACCAGCGCCTTGTCCTTCCCCTACTGTTAGGAAGAGAAAGTCATACCATAACCTGTTATCACGCCTCCTCCCGAAGCTTCCAGGAAGGACTGCTTTGGTAACTAGCCCTTCAGCCCTCACAGTGTCACATGGCATTCAGACTCAGCCTCTCCGCTTTCTTTGGCCCATTCCTAAAGTGTATGGGGCTGACACCAAGATAACAAGTGCTCAGGTCCCATAGCTGTTGCTTGGCCCTTCAATGCCACCAAAAGGTTCATACGCTAAAGGCTCAGT